TAACATGTTTTACAAGACGTAGCAGCAAGAGTAAAGCACATAAACATAAAGATAAATCGTTGATCTACAAAGCGTAAGGAGTTAGATCTCATCTCTTCGCAATAGAGCAAAGTCAATCTATCCTTAAAGGCTTTTAGAATCAAATATGCATTAAGAACAAGAGAAAAACGAAATACATGTTTAGNTATTGATTTAGGCTGNTATGGCCGGCTGCTTAAGTTCCTAGAGAGGCTAAAAGCAAGTATATATAGGGGTTTAAGGAGGNTTAANTCGGCTAGGTCTTCTTCGGGCAAAAACGTCTTTTTGGTAGAAACTGAGGCAATACCGATCACAATACCAGTCGGGTTGCGTGACCGGTATTTGAGGCTTCTATGGCGCTTCTAGAAGGTCAGCAAAGGTCTGGAAAATCGGCCCATAGGCGGCCCGGTGCTTGGCTTCCTTGTGCACTCACTTCACTTCAAAGGCAGTTTGACATGTCCTCAGTGTTTCAAGTGTATCTTCTAAAGTACACCTATAATTGATGAAATTCCAACTCCATGGGAAAGCTAACTCAAAGGGCTATCTCCATACCACGTTTCGTTCAATTCCAAGTTGATTTGATCCTCCGTTCATCAGCGAACTTCTGACGTATATGTTCTGTCCAGTTTGAGAATATGCATTATCTTCAAGATAAAACGACTTGACTTGGTTCCTTTGACTTGAATGAGTAGCTGCATCATAGATAACACTCTTTTTNCTCCATTTTACATCNTTTTGATGNTAAAACCTGTTAAGACCTTAAAATCTACAAATACGAGAAAATTACCTCTTTTGGTCGAAAAACTTTATTAATATACGTAAAAACTATAGTAAATAGATAGTAAAAGTGGTAAATATAGGGCATATCACGTTTCTATGCCTTGGACTCGATCCTCACATTTCCACATCGACGGTAAGAAACTCATTAAAGTCTTGATTCGACTCTCTTGAACCTCAAGATTCAGGACACGTCCCACGAGAGTTCTTTCGAAGCGTTTCAGGACCACCTCTTTGTCCACCGGAGGCAATCGCAGTGGCTTCGATCTCTTGTTCTCCCGATCCGGGGCCACCAGTTTGCCAAAAAGCCATTAGATAGGTACCGGAGCACACAAGAAGGGGAAATCTCTGAGAGGGAAAGATAACAAAGGATTGTGTTGAGCATGTCTCTGAAGCCGATCTGTTCTTGGGTTATAAAGAGGAGTAAAAATCTGATGCAGATCTCCCAAAATCAATGCCCAATTGACAGTGATTTGTTTGTGATGTTTGATTGAGATCAAATCATTTCCATGGTTCTCGCCTTGTGTATCCCTGAAATTCTTCCACGGAAAACAAATCAGGCTTTCCATATCTTTAGTTGTCGCTGCAGAGGTATTGAAGAAAAGATCCAGACGGATCTCATCAGTATTGGCTTTCAAAACTGCGCCAGGTTTGAGCCAACCCGAAAGCTTGAGACCAAGCTCGCCGAGGGCGAATGACGCAGCAAAAGATCTGTGCCGAGGGGAATTCTGAAAATCGCCAGCAAGACACCATGACCGGAGGTTTGAGCAGCGCCGGATCATAACGTTTTTGTTTTTCAAAAGACAGCCGTTACGTCGCCTCAGCGAGAGCGTTCACCAAATCACCAATAATAAGGTTTCTTCTTAATTTACATTTTAGCCGCTATTTTAATCAATCCCCATTTCTTAAATAAAAATAGAGCATTGAAGCGTAAAACCGCACTACTAAAAAAACAGAACTTGGTTCATTAATTAAGATTGGTGTGCGTGAACTACGAAATAGTTTTCGTAAGTTCTTATTCATATTTGAATTCGAAAATTGTTCATGCAACAAATCAAGAGCAGATCAAGGAATGTAATACAATGGATTTGGGACTTTGAAGGAACGATCAGCCACAGCAAAACCTTCAAGATCACTCCATTGATCACCAGTATTTCCATGAAGTTTGAATCCTAATTTAACCATTTTTGCTCTCTGCTCTGATTTATATTGTACAGCTGCTTTTCCTTGATCTTCGTGGCCCCTAAATCACATTAACCAAATAAATATCAGTTTTTTCTTTCTTCATGAATCTGTTCATAAGTTTAGTCTATATAGCTAAATTAGCTTTTAGTTTTGGTAAATAGATATTTAGAGCGATTGAGATTTTTAAATTACTTAACTTTAGTCTAGTCAAGTACTATTGTTTTAAAAATAAAGACTTTTGTCTTCCTAAGATTACCTATAACTCTTAATCACTCACAACCCTTCATCTCTTTTTTTCTTTCTCTTTCCTTTTTTTGTATTATATGTATTTTAGTTGTAACAAATTCCTATAAATAAATATTTACATTTTACAATAATCAGCCATCACAGCTGCAACTAGATTAGTTTGGTATATGATAATGGTTTAAGATTTGAAAGTTACCGAACTAAACAAGTTCTCGAGTTACAAACCAAGATCAAGAGAAATATTTTGGTTTAGCTTACCTCAAGAGGAGGTGTTCCCAACCGGAGTAACCCGCGTCATGAAGATTGCTCACGGTAATACTCCTTTGATCCTCGTCACGGCCGGTTAAGAGAATGATTTTGAAACCAAGTTTCTTGAGAGCTTTGAAGAGTCTCAAGCTCGCACCAAAACCTGGAGCTGTACCTTCTACCACCCACTCGTTAAATGCAACTGAGTTGTACGGCTCAGACCTTGTTAAACCCACCACAAAGATATTAGACAAACCGATCGTTACGCTAGGTCAAAACAAGAGCTTGTGTTGTGAGAGTCAGAGAGCATTTTAGAGAGTATTTTACCCGTAACCATGAGCCGAGTAGTACGCGAGGTTCGAGAGAAGCGTCTCATCGATGTCGAAGACCCAAGCGTCCTTCCCGTCACCACCAAGCTTGATCGTTTTAGCAAACGCAATGGCGTAACGAGCGACTACGTCATAATCGTTGTCGAACTGGCCTACGTCGTAATATGTTGCAACGGAGTTAACGCATTTGGTCGGAACCACCTTCCAGCTTCCGGCATTGTTGGTCTCAACGGCCAATCTCCAGCTGTCGCAGTAGGCAGCGATGGAAGAGTGAGATTCGACGTCATGGGTGATGCCCGGAAGCTCGATGAAGGAAGAGACGCGAGAGGAAAAGGCCTGATTGGTTAAGACCGCAAAGAAAATAGCGAGGATGAAGAACGAAACCGAGCCGCAGCGGGAAAACGCCATTGGATAAGGGTTTATCCGAGTTACCTGTGTTGTGAAGATGGAAGTAAAAGTAGATGGGTGCAAATTTAAAGATATTTAAAATTTAAAGTGGTTAAAAAAACAAAAAATCAAGTGGTTGTAAAGTCGTTCTATTAAAAACGTGATTCTTGTGGAGGACGTCGTACTCATACCCATGTGTATTATTTGTACTCGTCTGACACTTCCAAAAACAATAGTTTCTCTCCTCCCACTATAACGAGGACCTATAAAGGGCCTCCGATTGAAGAAGATGTGAAGAGGAAGTTATAATTATTGATTAATTATACAATTAAACCAGTAGCAATGGCTCGATTTGTATTATCCATAGGAGTAGTCTATTAGCTGGTAGCTCTTCTCGACGTCTCTCGATCCCAATCGCCGACAAATTATCCAATTCGAATAGATCGGATCTCTTACAACTTGCCGCATCGTCATCATCGTCTTCTTCTATGTTTATAACGTTAAAGTCGCATTTCGCCGCCAAGTAATCGTTGTGTTGGATTTGACTAAGACACATTCGACTGGGTCTCGGAAACTAAATGGACCTCGGTTCTGCAAACTAAAGAAGCTGGGCTTGCCAAAGCAAAGAAGTCCAATATCCTTATCCAAACAATCTGTTTTGTTTGTTACAAGGAGGATAAGGTTATAAAGAGGAAGAAGTGTTGATCGTCTTTAACAACACACGAAGAACAAATCTGAAACAAGAGAGAGAAAGAGTTAAACAGTAGAGAGAGAAACCACCATTAAAGATCATTGAGTTCCACAAACCTTTTTGCTCGTCATCTTCATACTTTCTTCTCTAAGATTGTATTTTCTTCCTAAAGCTTCTTGTAACCCTAAGCGACTTTGTACCTCTTTCTCTTGATAGTGAAGTTTCGAGGGGACTGGCCGTCGACGAGACGTACCAGCGTGTTGCTGGGAACTCGTAATAGCTCGCGGTGTTGTTTACATTTTGCAATCACAAAGCACATCTTATACGAGTTAGATCAAGTCGGAATTGGTTCAGAATTGAATCGGAGAGTTAAAACTTACCGGATTCGCAACAAATGGTATCAGAGCACCAGGCGGTGCATTGAGAGATCAAGGAGATTCTACAGAACGTGTGGAGATTATCAGTCTTGATAATCTGAGGCCAAGCATCTGCGAAGGAAGAAGAAGAAACAAGGATCAGATTACAACAATAATCTGGTCAAGTTAAAAGGATCATTAGTCACCAGAAATCGCTTACCTCGCAAAAGACTTTGTGAGATCTTTTCCAATCTGAATCTTTTTCTTTGAGTTTTTTTGTGTGTTTCATTCTTTGGTACTGCCTCAAGTGTTTGGTTCTA